GTTAAATATATAACTCAAGTTTCGAATGTACGTCTACATATCTTATACATCATCAAACATATATGTGTTCTTACATGCGCATATATCTGAAAAGAAAAATAACAATATGCCATAGAGTAGGGCTATAAGGAATTAATTAAACGATCGAGTCGTCGATGTGTTACCGCTCTCGTCACCGCGCAGGGCGACGAAGCTGCGCGTGAAAGTTCTCGAGCAAAGAATGGAGAAACGAAAGGAAAAGGAAAAAAAAAAAGTAGAAAGAAACCTAGCGAAAGGTTCCTCGCGCGAGGAAACAAATATCCGGCGTCCGCCAGGACACGCTTCGTACGTATTTCCGGTCGTAGCTGAATCGATCGCAATTGGCGCTTCCGATCGCCTGATCGAAGCGAATCGCGTCGCGATCCGTCGATTCGAAAATGCCGATCGAAAACGATGACCCGTGTTTCGTGCTTGGAAACGCACGCATCGAGCTGCATACGCCGCGCTCCGTTTAGAATTCAAATTTAAGAAAAAATTATGGCAAGTCGTAGCAGAGGGAGAAGGAAACCGCGTCATTCACGACTACCGTACGATTGCCGACTCTGTATTTTGTTTCATAATTTCTCGCTATTAATGAACACACGTAGCTCGAACAAGCAATTATAGTTCTTGAATTTATTCGGACGAAGCTTAATTTTCGCGTAACATTTCCAATAATAAAAAGCCTCATGAGACGCGAAGCTATTATATTTCTGTTTATATATACAATTGGAAATAAAATCGCGATATAATCACATCCCATGCTATAATTAGTATAAATTTTAATGCATTTTAATGCATTTAAGTCTCGAATTTTTTCTTTACGATTTTGCGTTTCGCCCTTTCGTTGGCCCAACAATATCCCTCGCTCGCAGAGCCGAACGGACGTGTCAGGTTATCTGAGCTAAGTCTCATTGTCAATAGATAAATTTTCCTGACGAAACGCGGGTCAACTCACAACTTCCGCGCAGGAAATAGGTGGAAAGTACAGCTTTTAAGCGTAACATAGGTACTCCGTGGGACTTTGCCGTCCACCTTCTCCGGTTTCTATCGACACTGCTTGTTTCCCTTTTTCCCGCTCTTCCTTCGTCGCTTTACTAATATTGACTATATAATATCAGCCGAGGCGCGCATTTTCTCGTTTCCATAAACACCTTTATGTATCACTAGGTAATATTTTATACTTACGTCGCTCGTGTGCAAAATAGGACAAGTCCGAAATAGTTTCCTTTCGATTTCCACTTCTCAAATTCAGGAGTTTGTAATTTTCCCTTTTCTCCTTTTCAAAAATTTATCACATCGGAGGATCCAATTTTTTGTGAAAAGAAAATTTTCACAAGCTTTTTAAAAACAAGCTTTTCAATTTGCCTTCCAGGATGTTGATTTCTCTTGATGCATAAAGGTTTTAAATTTTTTCACACTTGACCGCTTTTGCAGACGACCGATCGACCTGTCTATTTCTCTAAGAGACCCTTTCGCGATATAAATCAGACGGCTCGTCGCGTCGAAATCATGATGATCGGGACTCGCTTGTCAAGTCGCGATCTTCGCGACTCGCGACACGTCGTTGCGACGTCTGCTCGATTAGAAAGATTGCGCCGATGTTCGGGGCGGAAATCGGGTACGTCGCGAGAAACGGTATTCTCGAAGGAAATCGCCGAACGGCTCCTTTCGCAATCTAGAACGTCGTAAAGGAACTCAGGTATCGAAGACATGACAAGCGCCGGTTTCACAATTATCTCGAGGATCATCCGCGGTCGTCGCGAATTTTTTATCTCTCTTCTAAACTTCCTCTTGTACCTCAAATACGCAAGGTGATTAATAATTGAAGGATTCTGTGCAAACGACTCTAATTATTTTTCAAAAAAAAAGTCAACCTTAAAAAGCTGAAAGAGCAACTTAAACATTGATTAATTTTCTCGATTTCTCGAGAGAAGTCAGCCAGACGACTGCACTGTCGACGCCAGACGAGTCGCACTGAAACGAATTCGAGATAACACGACGTCGTATATTAATGAGTTCTTAATTTTACATTGTCGAGCTTATTCAGCGGACATATATCGGCAAATAATTGCGAAGCCAGGCTTGCGGTAATATTATGGGATTCATCGAAAAGATTGCCTCTTCGGGATTATCGACACTATCACACGCTAAATTGTCTCGCTCAAAGCCGCGCTGTGTGTAACAATGTCGCAAACTCCTTTATCGCACTCTATATTCAGTGGACGGATACACGAGCTATAATAATTTCGCCTAAGAAATGCGTTTCTCGTGCGTGATTTTCGAGATGTGAGATGCGCGATCATATTCACCTAAGGGAAAAGAAATGAAAGAAAATTTCACTCTACTCTCATTCCTCTTCAGTTGACAAAATCGAATTTACAGATGTATATTGAAATAATCTGTTTCGGTCGAAAATCAAGCACGGTCGTGTGACACAGAGAGAGATCTTCTAAATCTCGATTTTGCGATCGCAGCTTAACGCGTCCTCTTATTTCAATGACTGAGTCGATTTCGGAAGAAAAAAGTCATTTATTTGATTTCAGCGCATACATGTGTTCAACTTTGCCAAAATTCACGTTTCTTTTCTTTTTTATTTTTATTTTCTTACAACAGTTCATTGGTTCGCGAACACCAGAAATTTGTGTGCATGACATTAATCTTCCTTAAACATAAAAAATAATAAAAATAGGTCTTTCTTTAATCGAAGTGTGTAAAATCAATAGGATTTCGAATTTTGAGGACGTTATTAAGAGGTTAAAAAAAATTTACACCAAACATCTTATATATGCAGAAGACTTCAAACTCTCTATTAGCATAATGTAAACGTTACAATAATGCCAATTTGCCATAATAATCTTATGTTTTCACCGATTCTACAATCTTCATTCCGAAGTAGTCTACCGCGTTTGCTGTCTCATGTTTTTTTTTTCTAGAGAAAAACGAAGAAGAAAGAAAACACTTATCCCCAGTCACACGTGTATTTTGTATGTAAATTAGCTCCGTCCCTAAGTGCTAATTACGGTAATTACGTTATGAACACTTACGAGTAACTTCGTACACTTACGCCAAAAACGGAAAGCTCGTATTCTCATGTTTCTGTTCGCCTCAGTGAAACGTTGGTAAATTTTTCAGGGCAGCCGACGCGACCGAGTTCGACTAGCATTGGCATCTTAACTATACGCTTAATTCGTCGCAACAATTACAATTTTAAAATTAACGAATTTCAAATTATCTCTCGCAACAACTTTATTTCATTATTTACATATTATCTCATTATACATACTCTGATAAAAAGAGAATTAGTTTCTTTTAAAAATTGCAACTGTGTAGAAAATCTCGCGTAGAATTATCTTTCGTGTTTCGATTTTCGGAGCCACATCACTAGTCGTTCAGATCGATCGGCTTATCGTATAGGCGGTAATTCTCAGTCGAACGGGGATCCGCTATCGGTCAACGTACGCACATAGGTACTCTCTAAGCTTAATCGTACTTGTCGATAAAATTGACATTATTTTCGCTTTTGCAGTTTTACTTACGATACCACGGTGCACTGTTCGCGCACGCGACGGGTGTGCCGAAAGATTCTCGCGTTGTCGGGAAACGTGCATCATTTCTACGAAAAATCGAGGATCTATTAAACACGCTCCTCTCGTTATCCGCTAGTTTCGGATCCACTATGCTTCGCGTCGATCGGATTTTCAGCGGCTAAATCTCGTCGGCGCGTTCGAACGAGTGAAGCGTCAAATACGCTCGTCAATTATATTCTTACACTTTAATTCAGGCAACTCTATCGATTCGGTTATTGTATTGATTTTTCGAGTAAACAGATCAACAACTACCAAAGCATAGTGGATGATTTTTAAACAGGCGGTTTCAGCCCTTAAACGCATCTCTCCGTGAAACTGCAACGATTGATTCTGCCCGCGGATATTTTCTCGTTTCTTTCTTCGCTAAATAATTTATACACATCGCTGCGCGTATAGTGTGTCGTAGGAAGCGAGTTATACGAATCACGCCGTGAAAAACGCGGTTAAGAGTTGAGCCCGGAGCTCCGTTTGACTATTTCGCGGAAACTATTGTTTTCATGGCTAAAAACACCGACTAAACTCGTCAATGCGCGACGCATTTTTATACTCCTAAAATTGGTAAAAACATCACCGCGCTATCAACTAGAGTCACCTGTAAGCTCGATTTCGCGGTCGCTGAGTCGACAAAGGTCGCTTCTCTCTTTTTAAAAGCACCTAGAGCATACGCCCGAATTACTCGATAACTCGAGAGGAATCCACTGGGGTACCTGGGAAGAATCGTTCAAGAATATCCGTACATCGGACAGCTGTGCTATACAAGGTGTCGCTTTCGTGTGGTAATTGCACGTGGGGAAGGGAGGGCGGGGAGAAAATCGGTACGAATATTAATATTTAACAAATTTACCTAATCTCTCTCTCTTTCTCTCTCTCTCTCTCTTTTTTTCTCTCTCCCTCCCCCTCTCTCTTTCTCTCTCTCTCTCTCTCTCTTTCACGATTTTACGAGACACTTTGACCCAACAGGCTCTTATTCTCTAATTTCCTCTATGACGCGAGTCGGGTTCAAGATAGTCGTGGAAAATGCCGACGGCGATCTCTCAGCCGCGAGATCGATCGTGTCGGAAAAGCTCGCGGCAAGATTTTTTATAGAACAGCTCCGAAGATTTTCGGAGACGCGCGCGGTCTCGTTGCATGATCTATCGATAAAATCATCGCTTGATTACCACCATACTATCACGAAGTATACTAATGTTCTTTTGAACTTTATTCAACCTGATTCATCACAAATTTACACGAGAGTACCGACGATCTCGCGGTCATTCTAGGATAGCAAAAATAAACATTCGTACGAGGAGTTTCGAACTCCTCAGACGTATTTTGCGATCGTCTATCGGCATTACTTGTCGATATTCGAGAATAAGCTTATCTCTTTCAGGGTAAATGAAATTACGTTAATAATTTGAACGAGCATTTTCCAAATTTTATTTCTCCTTTCTCAAGATTTTATTCAAACAAAAAGGTTCACGTCAGTTCTCATACAATTAATTCGAGTCAGCTAGAAACAATTCGATGTTTATCCGCATAACGTGAGAGGAAGAGTCTTGGAGAGACCGGTTCGCGGCGAATCGCGATAACCCAACGACGAATTCCGACACTCTCGGTCTCTCTACTTAGCAGCGACATCGATTAACGATTATTGTTTCGCCGACAAGAAGGATATAAAGTAATATTTATCTAGGGAGAAGCACCAACGAGTCATAAACGTACAGCTCTCAGCAGAATATATTCTCTCTCTCTCTCTCTCTCTCTCTCTCTCTCTTACTTTCTCTCCCTCTTACTCTCTCTCTCTCTCTTTTTTTCTGCCTTTCCTCTCATCGTTTCACCTAAAGTCGATACAGCAGATTGAAATGCCGCGGCAGCGATTGCCAAGTCGCGGGTTCGTTCATTGATCGATGACTAAACTTACACTTTTAAACGGCTACTGGTAGCAGTTTACTTATATTAATTGTACCTATGTTTATATATATATATATATATAGTACTATATATATATATGTATGTATAACGCAATATATAACACTAGCGAACGTACAATTATACTTTACTGTATAGAGTATATATTCAATATTTTCTGTATAATATCATTATATATACCTATATATATAATATATATATAGAGTTACATACAATATATATATAATATATATAACATATATATAGAGCTGTGTGCTAGCGACTCCTTTTTCGTATTTATTTCCGTGTTAATTACATACAATAATAATGTATATCTTTCTTTTATATTTATTTATATATATATATCTATATNTATGTAATATATATATATATTTATATTTCTTTGCACACAGTACGTCCTTCCGGAGATGCACACGCGGTCACTTTTGAACGTTCTTCCCTTCGAAAAAAACGCGACCCCATAATTCGAAATTCGAAACGCAAAAATATAAAAATTCTCTTCGTCTCGCCGCGTGACCGTTCGTTTTCGGTCGTAGATGAGCCAATGTGTGTCTCACGTTCGAGATAAAATAGTAAAGGTGTACGATCGCATTTAGAACACCGCGTCGACGATAACTACTTCGTATTTGAAAATGGAAAAGAAGGGGTATTTTTGCGATTTCTCGAGTGGCTTCACCGAGTCGCGCATTTGCTTGGAAAACATCCGCGACTAAGTGCGTGAGGTAATGCAATAATAGCACGCGCGTGGCCTAAAAGGGACGCACTGTGCGACGACAGCGTGCGTCTTAGGAGCACGATGAGGTTACCCTTACAGACGACAGAGATCGTTGTACGCACGGCGAAACGTCGGCGAGCCTTCAACCCTTCATCGTCCCTTTCCTGCCTTGCTCTCCGCCCACTCACACATTCGCGCGCGCGCACATACACACACATACGCACGCACACACCGCCGAGTCCTTACAAATATATATATGTATATACGTACGTCACTCGATTGTAGCGACCGCGACGCCCTCGGGATTTAGCTCGCGTTCGCGAGACGGCCGCGTTAAAAGCGCGACTCTCATTTCATCAGCTCGACGCGCGCCTTAAAACTTTAAAAATTGACTTGGATACCGTCGATCGCGGACGATCGAAAGGATCTTGAGGGACTTCGAAGGAGAGACCCGTCCGCGCGAAGGAACTGCGAATTCATCGATCGCGACTCTTTCAGATCGAGTTAAGAAACCGCGACTTCTCAGGCGAGGTCGGTCTACCGAAGCTCTAAGCACGCTTAAATTATTCATTCTGCCGGTTGATGTCTGAATGATTCGGCTCCGCGATCTCGAAGGTCGGAGACACTTCGCGAATCGGGGAATGCACGCGAGGTTACCGCTCGAATGATCCTTCGACTCGGATCTTTCGACGACGCGCGATAACTTCGGCGCGTGTCGCGAGACGTAGCTCGGAAGGCTAATAGCTTAAACTGCTATTGTAAAATCGTCAGTATAGATCGGCAGAATTTCTTTGAGCAATATGTTATTTTCTATATTTCGAACGTCTTCCCCTAAACATAACGCAATAGATCACTATGCAGAGATGATCCCTATCATTTTTAGACGAGAGTGGCGAAAAGTAATGAAATACGAATTAACCTTCAAAGTCCAAATCTTATTTTGTTACGATTCTATAAATATCAAAATAAATATTCTCCGCATAATTATATATTAAAATAAAGTTTTTAAACGCGCGCGGAATAACGCGTCAATTATAACATAACTTCAAACCCACATCTCGTAATTATCAGGTAAAGAAATGAGAGAACCTAATAATCTCTGATGAACAATGTCGGGTTTCTCAACGCCAGCCCTCTATTCGGAATTCTCAAGAGTTAATCACCGAAATTAATTCCTCTTGCAAGAAACAGCACGATTTTAGCGTCGCATGCGATCATCTTCACGCGAGATGAAACAAATCGATATTTCGAAAAGTTTTTCCGGTCTCACATTGTTTCCGCGAATTGTCGCTAATCACAAGGAGTTAATTGCCTACCTAACGAAAGAAATAATATTTTGTGAGATTTCACCGAAATCCTCGATCCACAGTCGAACGATCGATTGATCCGCCGCGTGAGAATTCTCGCGTGCGATCTCGCGAAAGCCTGTAACCTCGCAGTCGTCGCCAGCATCTCCGGCCTCTATTTTGAGCAGCAGCTTGCCGAAGAAGAGGCTGCGGACGTTGATGAAGCGATGGAACGTCCTCGCCGACGTTGATCGCGCCACCGGCGTTCTAGTTTCTCGCACCACAATCGCACTAGCGTAAATTGGCATTTTTGAAGTACGTATTTCGTCTTATTCTTGCATCATTATGTCTATATCTTATCACAAGTCGACGGTTCACCCTCTCGTCCTCGCTATGTCGAACGTCTGCAACAGAAGAAAAATGTGCCACCTCGTAAATTATTGTATAAGTCGTGTTTTTTCGCGAACAGACGAACTATCATATGTGGGCGTTTGTTATTCGAGATTATCAATGCATTTTAAAAGTGATTAAGTAACACAATAGTTAAACGTCTTAAACAATTCTCTCGTAATAAGAGAATAGATGAAATCTTAAAAAAAATTAACTTTTGATGATGATAAACGTTATCCAAAATAATTAAAACATCGTTTATTTCCTTCCGGCTAGAAAAACGAAGTATCTATAAGTTCAGATATTTTTGTCGATAAATACAACGCGTGTACAAAAAATACTTCGCATTTCGAGATAAGCTGCAATTTATAATTAGGCATGATACCTTCGCTCGGTTAAGAGCACAGCACTTGAGTAAATACAAATTTTCAAAGTACATCGCGGAATAATTCGGCGGTGAGGAGCTAAAACTTTCGGTACGATGATTCGATTCAATATCGGTATCGATTCACGGAGATCAGCGTAAATATCTTTCGAATTAAAAGGAGCGTCTTAGAAATATGCGGTATCACGTTGAAAATAAATTGGAGAGATCAGAATTCGATAAGAAGGACACAGACGATGGATCGAGCGTGGAGGACAACAGAAAGCCATATGTCTTTTCACGATGAAAAAATAGAAATTTGAACTGAGCGTTTCGGTATGATGGCCTTAGTCGCACGATCTTAATTTTAACAACGGATTCATCACCGAATCCCGTGTCTGTGAATGTAATGTGCGAAAGTACGGGATTTTTTGAAATCGTCCGAATTTTGTGCGAGTTTATTTAAACGTTAAACACGAGGGGATATTCGATAACGTACGCTCGAAAAATGCACTCGTGAACGGGCTCGATCAGTGGAAGCTGTCGTGTCGATGCGATCTCTCTCGTTATTCCGGATAGGTGGAAACTTCCGAGACTGTCCGACTGCTAAAGGGCCGCTTTTGCTATTTTCCGCGCGCTTGATCCATTGCCCTAAATTGGTCCGGCTTTGCGCGACGAACAATCCGACCCCGAGGAAGTCGAGCGTGGCATCAACTTTTTCATTCCTGATATTGAAAAGTTTCCCTCGCGCGAGCGCGCTGCGCCCGAGAGATCGCGAAATCTCTCCATTCCTACGATCTCTCGACGGGATCGTCGTCGACGGACAACCGGAAGCGACGGTTCCGCGGATCGGTTAAAGAGCAGCGCATCGCGACAGGAAGGGCGATCTCCTCCGCGAAACGAAGAAGCGGCGATCGCGGTAGAGAAGCGAACAGTTTGGTTAAGTTAGATAGGGATGACGTAACGCCGTTATATTAGGTTGTTACAAAAATCACGTCGACTTCTGCGAAAGTAACTCTCCTCACAAAAGCGCGCGAAACTTTGGTAGCACAGTTTCCAACGAGACTCAAGCAAGAAGTCGTGAATGATGAGCAATGAAGCGCGAATACGCGTAGTGGAATAGAAAGTTGAACAGTCGAATATAACTATAGCAACCTGAGTCGCTGGAACAATGGCATACATATCTGCTATCGTGAAGAGTAAAAATTTCGAGAGGATATTAGAAAAAAGGATTGGAGGTGTTCGTACAAAGTAGGGTAGCGGATACTGTAACGGAAGTCAAGGAGAGAGATCAAAGAGAAAGGAAAGGACGATGAAGAAGGATTGCGAACATGAACGTGAGAGACGATGCTCGAAAGAATAAGGATGCGGGAAGATAATAAAGATCGGGATGACAGGAGAGAGAAAGAGAGAGAGAGAGAGAGAGAGAGGGAAAGAAGTGGGAAACGATAGTCCTTCCTTTCAAAGGAAGAAGAAAACAAAGACGAGGAGGATTAAAACGGAGAACGAAGAAAGAGAGACGGTACGGGAGGATATAGATGCCGGGAAAAAGAGAGAACGAACGAGAAAACGATGTGACGAGATAATAAATATTAAGGAAGACAGGGAAGTAAAGAAAGAAGAGCGAGAGCTCGTACAACCGCAAAAGAGCGCGCTGAAGAGAGTAAGGACGACGCGGCGAGATAATAAATATCAGGAGAGACAGGAAAACAAGGAGTGGGGTGATTCTCTTGTTCGAAGGATGCAAAGGAGCAAGGATAGCAGGATCAAGATCGGGGGCCGAAGCAAGAATAATGCAAGAGCGAGCGGCGCTAACAAGGTCGACGACGCAGGATCAAGATACGAACCCAAGAAAGAAGAACACGAGGCGAAGTTAGGGGACAAGGACAATAACCTGGGGATAATAGATTCCAAGATGCAAAGAAGAACACGAAGCGAGCGCGGTAAAGGTGGACCGCAGGTTAGGGTATAATAGATATCAGGATAGAAGTCGAAAAAATACAGATGAAGAAAAGAGAGAAATAAGGGAAGATAGTAGGCGGGAGGGGGAGAACGAAGATATGAGAGCGAAGAGGAGCTCGGAAGGTTGCGCGTGATCGAAGCATTGTTTAGCGAGAAGTCGATGGCTGATACCGAAGGAGAGTCGATGCATGTGAACCTGCACGAGAAGGAGAGGTAGAGAGAACAAAAAGGGAGGGAGGTTTAGAGGGACGAACGGAGTCCTCGTCGTCGCCATCGTCGTCGTCGTCGTCGACGTGATTTACATGCACGCCGAGGTAGCTTTTACCGCGCGTATCGCTCGCGGACGTGTTCGTAACACATACGAGAACACGTAGCTCGATCATGTATAAGTGGAATTGTACATGTATGTGTGTGTGTGTGTGTGTGTATATATGTGTGGGAAGTATGCGTATGTTTGTGTGAGTATGGATACGCGTGTGCATGCAGGCAAGCTGCGACCACTGTCGGCGGCGACGTCGGTCCGCTCGCTAGCGCCCAAATCCGGGAATTGGGTTTCGCGTCGGCGAGTCATTACTTTGTTTATGAGAACGGAAACGCGCTGAGACAGCGAAGAAAAAGTGTCCCGTACGGGTAGATCCGGACGGGCTAATATTTACCGGACGGCCGAGTGCGCGGCAGCGAAGTGGTAGCGGTGAGCGCGCACGTTTCACGATTTTTTCCCCCGGCTTTATGCATGCGGCTCTGATCCATTTTGTGAGCGACGACCAATCGCCACCCCCGCTGCATTGGCAGCTTACCAATACCAAACCGATTTCCGTTTGTTCATTTGTTCGTTCGACCGATGTACTTTGTCCGCCACGAGGCATCCCTGCCCTTCCGTCACCTCCTCTTCGTTCTGTCTTTTGTCGCGCGAGAAAATTACGCAGGGACAGCTTTGAAACGAAATACAAAAGAAATATCGAGATTTAGGAACAGGGTAAAGATAAAAAGGGTAAAATGAGGCGGATTAATCCTTCTTATTTAGTTGTAAAGAGATTTCACAAAATCTGAAATTCGACAGGCAACTGTTTAGGAAGATTACTTTTGTAGAAACGTGATATAACGATCTAATATAACGACGTTACGTTACCCCTAATTAAACTTATCGCGCGAAAACAATTGAATCGTAGTTAATTCAAGAAACAAATTTCAAAAGGAACGACTTAATCATCGGGATATGCACTAAATAAGTGCACGTATTTCAAACTTGCACGCAACACTGAAGACACGAGAAAAATGTCACCTCATCAATTGAATATCCAAAGTACTAGACATTCAAGTTTTCCTCGTATTTCCTCATTTCAACGACTCCCCTCATCGTTCCTGCGAATCTCCGCCAATCATTCGTATTCCCACTGCGACCTTGAGTAAGACGTCGTCGGAGACGAAGACATCGTCCCGAGCTAAGACAGGAAACGCGACGTACCGGGTACACGATCTAAGTGCGGGAAGAAAAGGCAGATGAAAGGGAGAGGGTGTGCGGAAAGAGAGAAAGTGAAAGGAAGAGATTGCACCTTCGTTGTAACGTGCTCCGCCGACTCTTTATGTCAAGGGACTCTGCACGACCGGATTTAACTGCACTTTAATGATCGTGATGCATAATATTGTTACGCGCTTTATTACGAGGTAAAACGCATCGCATGTAATCGCGAATCGGGCAGACGGACTAATGCACGTTGCATTCAGTCGCGTTGTGGCCGTACACTCAGTATTAGTTGCAACACAACGTCGGTTTCGAGCCGATCGTAATTACCCATTTAAAGTCCGAAGCCACTCAGACTCCAAATAGCCAAGCGTTATTAATTACCAACACTCCCAATTTGTGATCTTCGCGTATGTACGTTACTTTCGCCATCTGTGCGATTTAAGTGGTCATAAGTCGATGGTAGAATTTAAATTACGGACGAAATTAACTAAAATAGCAGAAACTTGACTTTTCGCTAAATATAGTGGGTGTAAATTGCATTTATTTAGATATCTGAGAAAGATTGCACACGCGCAAAACTGCGTGCATTTAGTGATTTCGATTGTTAAATAATAAAATATCCCTTTGAATGTGATTACGCACAATCGGAGTTCGATCTGGAGGCATCGAGCAACAATCCAAGCTAAGACTGTAGGAATTTGAGGAAGATCGCGTCTTCCTCTCTTTCTCCTTCGTAGATCCAACGCGCGATCGCAGATTCTTGACACGTGTTCCGCGTGGAAATTCGGTTCCGGTGGATTTAGACAAAGCGATAAAGGAAAGAATGGTAGCTCGGCGCTCGTTCATTCGCGCACGTACAAAAGCTCGCAGCGGGATGAAAGATCGGGCGTCGATGCCGAAACGCGCGGCTCACTCCCTTCCCTGGACCTGCTAATGGATTCTGCACTCTCCGGTGTCATTTTCCTTTTTTCCCCTCTTGTTCACGAACTCCGCTCGAATCCATACACTTTCCACTTCCTACGTCACGGCCCCAGGTGTTCGCGTTCGGCACTTTCGCATGATCTAATTATATAATTGGTCGAAATTAAAATATCAGGATAAGAATCAGCTGTCTTCCCTTCCCTCGCGCGATGAAGATAAAAACTCGGATATTATTCCCGTCTGTCACTGCACTGAAAGATATAAATCGGCACCAAGTCCGAGTGTTGCTCCGTAAGTACTTA